GAAATTTTTCTTTCTCCCATTAATATTAAAACTTTTACCTTTCTCTCTTCTTTTTTCTTATTCCTTTTCCTTGTGTCAGAATAAATTGAACACCATTTATTAATGTAAAATTAGTTGTAAGTGATGGACTTGAGGTCCACGAAATAAATTTATAATCTGACCTGATGGATATTTAAGAATTCTGTATTCATTTTATATATATATATATATATATATATATATATATATATATATATATATACATAAAAGGTTAATGGTCAGAGTTGAATCAGACCAGGAAATAGTAGTATTAAAAAGTGCTCAATATACACGTGAAAAAATAAAATAAAAGTAAAAAATAAACTGTAGAGCTTTTAACTTTAAAAATCAGGTCAGTTGAATCTGCTACCTTGGTTTCAACCTTATAGTATCCTTAGGCCATTTTTATCAAATGACCTCTTAATGCTTTATTTAATAAAAAAAACAAAAACCCAAAAAACTAATGAATTCTATATTATTTTTTTTAAAAATAAACAAATAAATGCATGATGTTAGGTGTAATAGAAAGGGAGGAGAAAGGGAAAGAGAAGAAAAGCAAAGGTATTATAAAAGTATCGGTGGCAGGGACAGTTAATTGAAATGTACATTTTTTTCTTTTTAATCAAGCCTCATATGTGCTTAAGAGGAATTTCTTAATATGTAAGCAAGGACTCAAGACTTTGGTTTCTGGTTCAAAAGGTTCTTTGAATTGGGAAATGTCATAATTGCTAATTTTTCCTGTTGGCAGAGGTTGCAAATATTGTTGTGGTTGTTATAAGGCTTTGCCTTTTTAAAAATTTTCCAGCTTACAATCAAATCCCTGTTTTTTTCTTTTAAATTCTACACATGGTTATCTAGTTTGGTAGAGTACCTAAGATTTACTAGCTTAAATGACGACTTATGATTGTACTATCTGCGTTTGAAAGTACCTCCAGCATATCCTATGTACGTTTTATTTTGGCTGTTAATGTGATTTTTAAAGTATAAATATGTAAGTTGCTAATAAAAAAAAAAAAAAAAAAAAAGAATATGGGCTGTTTTGTTCTACTGATATAACGTAGGCACACACAAACAAAATTTAGCCTTACACAAATTTATAAAAGATGAACCAAATTAATTTCTTTAAAAATTTCTATAAAGCAAATTTATATCTTTAAAAAAATCTATAAAGCAAATTTATATCATACTCTTACATTACAAGAACAAAACTCTTAAGCTTTTCTTTTAATTCTTAATTGCATATTTCTGGAAAAAAAGATTGCTTCTGTGTTTATAAAAAAAGATATTTTCTGTTATGGCAGAATTCTAAGAAGAAATTTTGATTCTAAAAGTAAAGTTGATAGTGTCCTTGCTTATCTTAAATTACTTGAAAATTGTTATTGTAATAAATGTTAGTTCTCTGGACAGGTTTAGATACTCTTATTCGTTGCCAAATATATTGCAGTTTCAATTCTTGAAAATTGTTTTTAAAGGCATTTCTTATCAGATTGATGTTTCCCCCCCTTTTTTTATATATATATGATGGATCTCCGTTACCTTTTTGCTGTAACTTTAAGTATTAATCTAGTCACTTATTTAATGTTTGATAAGTACTTTTGGTATTTTTTTTTTTTAATTGCCTTTTAGGTGTTTTTTTATGGGAAATAAATTAGAAAAAGAAAACTATTTTAATTAGCGACATCAAATCATTTCAAGTTCTAATGAATTATTACTATTCCTAATTAGCACTAATCAGTCTTATTGGTATGCAAGTCATTAACTTTTATTATTTTGTTTATAAAACCTATACAACTAATAGGATTTCTTTTGCTTCTTTGATTACTCAACTAATTATGTTTTGTAAAAAGTTGATATATTTTTATATCATTAACATTATCATCAGTGTTATAAGTTATTGACATTTGGAAAAATGTTCATGAAAAATATATCCCAAAAATAATATCCGATAATGCATTTAATCTTCAACGGCTTCATCAGATGGATAATGAAAAATGTCTTGTGTGTGTATGCATTTGTGTGTGTTTAAAATAATTAAATCTTATATTATTTTTCCCAAGCTGGTATCACTTGAGACTGAAAGAGAAAGAAAATGATTGACTTTTAAAAAATCATTTAACATTTATATATTCTCTGTTTTTAAGTGCCCGAGTTTTGGGATGGAAATTAGAATGGGTAGAAAATAATTTAAAGAATTGTTTTTATTCATGTGTTCTCCATGTCAACAGTATGTAATAAAATTTGGTACACTGTCGGGATTACATTCCCAAATTCATTACATTATCATCAGTATATATTTACTGAAAAGTTTTCTTTCTGTCCTAGAAGCGATTGTATCTTATCATATTTTGTGAAGTGGATCAGGCCAAGAAATTTTCAACACTCCCCCCTCCCAGTATAAATTTTATCATTTTTTTTTTTTTTGCTGTACCTCAGATGTTTGCAATGTTTTTATATTCTGTAGGATATGAATATCCTATTAAAAAAATGTTAGGGCATGCAATATATGAAAAGTGTATCTGACCTAGTCCCTTCAGATATGAACAAAAACAATATGGCATGTTGTTGTATTACAAAGCAACAGATGCTATATATATATATATATATATATATATATATATATATACACACACACACACAATGTCAAGTATAGCCATTACATGATATCAATGTAAGATTGTGCTTTAAACAAATATAGCTCTTTCAACTTGACAATCTTTTAAAACCTCTGGTCCAAAGTTGGTAGCTATAAGAAACATCCATTTGGTTATCATTAGGTATATTGCTATGAATGCTTGCATGTCTTTTCTCATATGTTTTTGTTTTTTTTGTTTTTTAAATAGATGTGTGTAATAAGTGTCCAGTGATTTTCTTACTCCAAATTTTGTTGAGTGCTAAAAGATAAATGTTACTATTATTGCCTGAAAAGGAGATGAAATTTTTGTTGATGTGAACTGCTTGTCCAATAGTGAGAATATTTTATGCGTATAGAGGAGAAAAGTGGGTCTGATTCTCATTGGTTTAGAAAGGGGTGAATTAATGATAATTATAATTGTTATAATTATTATTATTATTTTTTTATTTTTTTTTTTTTTTTTTTTTTTTTTTTGACACTGTAATTTTTATTTTTTTGTAGACACAATAAAGTGACAGTATAATTAATTTTTTATTCGTATATTTTTTATGGCATGACATAATCAAGAAAACAGCAACAAGTCAAACTCCTTCATTTAAAGAATGTTTTTTTTTGTTATGATTTTTAAATTCTTTATCAAGAATTAAGATGAAGATATTGAGTTGATAATTTAATATTAATAATACTTCATATAAATTTTCTATTATTGAAAATTTTTCTTAGTACTAAAAGAGAAGAGATTTTTTGAGATAGAATAAACCTGATAATCAAGTTGTGTTTTCAATTAGTAACTATTTGGTTAGTAACCATTTGATTGTTTATTTTCAGCTGATGGTGACAGTTTAGTTGATGAATCAGAAATAAAGAAACGGTTGGACTATTGCAATAGTGTTAAAGCAAGAACTGTGAGTAAATCCAAACATCATTTTTTACTATTGTTATTATTCACACGTTTGTCTTAGCTACAAAATTAGAAAATCATTTGCCTCTTTTTATTTAGCATCGACTGAAATCTTTAAAAAGATATTTTTACTCTATTTTTCAATTGCTTTTTCACTAATCTTTAGTATAATTTTTCTAATTCTATACTGAGTAAAATTTATTATATTCACAAATCACTGAATACAGAAGTACTACACTGATCCTCAGATTGCACAGATACTACACTGATCCAAAGCAGAAGTAGCAGTCCAAACATTTATCCCATTAACTGTTATCTTCTCTACATATCTGCATAAACTGTGCTTCTTACTCTGTAACCCACTACCTCAAGTAGTTATCAGGCTTTGTACTGGTTGAACATCATCATTATATATATATATATATATATATATATATATATATAGTAAAGGTAAAATTTTAAACTGCAACTCCAAAAATGTGATTTATGCACAAAATGCAAGAAGTCATATATAGGTATCAGCCAACAACTAAACAACAGGGTTTCCCTCTACAAATGCATCATAAAATTACCAGACAACAGAAAACTCTTTGTATCACAACACATCTATTCAGGGTGAATTTAAAATTATGTTAAAATATCAAACAGATAATTATTCTTAGCTACAAATACAACAAAAAACTTCATAAACAAATTTAAACTAGCACTAAATAGATCATAACCCCACACACAAAAACACACAATATGCATACATAATGGCCAAATACAGTGGTCAAGCTACTCACATGCATGCACACACACTTACACGCAGGCATCTGTGGAGCACGAATATATATACACATATTGGCAAAAACAATAGACTACTCACAGGCATGCACACAAACCCTATACAACATAGAAAGTGTGTGTGTATATATGTATACTAATTTCTTATAATAAGACAGTATGTATGTATGGAGAGGGAATATACATATAAATATGCATGCTGACAAAAACACACACAATACAAAAAATGAAAATAGATCTAAGAACACACAGGGGTCATTAAAAGATAAAAATACAGATATCGTTCCTCACCCTTTCTCGGACCAATCTTAATTGTTTTATTACCCTTTATGCACAAGAACTTTCTCACTGCCAGTTCAAGGAAGACATTTGTGTCACTAACACACAAAAAAGAGAATGTTGAAGAACATAAGAAAAATTAATTCCTTTTAATAATATGTAATATTTTGCCTGATGATGGTTGCGAGACCAGAAACTTGTGCAGCAAAATTATGGAAAATAAAGCATAATATACAGAAGTAGAGCTTATATTATAATAATATTTTTTGTTTAAAAATATGATTCCTTAACTACATAAGAGTTCTCATGTTTGAAAAACGAGAGCCAAAATCATCCAAATAATTATTAAAATTAACAATGAATTGTAAATTTTAAATTTCATCTTCAAGACGTTTAAATAAGCTATCTCTCGGTTTACAACATTTTTAGGCATGGTCCATTACAGAAAACCTAATACTAATCCCTAGACTATTTTCCCTCGTTAAGTGGTCAGAGAGTTAATTCTTATCAATAGATTCATCATCTTCTGAGAGGTTTTGCTAAGGTAAGGTATCTAGTTGAACTCAGCTAATGAAATATTCAACCTTTAGTTGGTTCCCAGTGAAGGATATTTTTATAACGGATACAAAAAACGTTATGTGTCTGGAGAATTGTTTTTTATTATTGTCCATCTGATTATCTACTTATTTATTTGTTTATTCAAGTGGGTGCTTTATATACAGATGTTATTGCACTGAATTTAAATTTTTTTTTTTTTTAAAACTAAAAGCCATTTTCCTATTTAATTTTGGCTAAGCTTTTAAGAATTTTACTTAGCTATGGGATTTTTTTTTTCATGCTAATTATTTAATGTGAAAGTTTGATGTTAGAGCAAAAACCATTAACTCCTGCCTATGGTTTAATAATTTTTCATTATTTAAAATTTAAAAAACAGTTTTTCCTGTAAGCAAAACAGCATGGGTCTTCCCAAACTAAAATTGGTTAAAAATTCTTGTTTTATTTACTATTTTCCATTTTACCCTTGGTGTTTTATTCGTTTCTTTTAGATGCCAGAAATATTGGGATAGAGATGTCTATTTCTATTTTGAATATTGTTGAAGGATATCTTGTGTTGCCTCCATCTAATTTTAAAATTATTCTTTGAGCCTGTGTATATCCTATCAGTGTTAGATGAGATAGTGCACTGGTATACCAAGAGATTTTTCAACAATTATTTTCCAATGGGCAATTTTTTAGGGTTTCTACAATCCCAAATTTTTGGCATTTTATCCAATTTTAGTTTGTGTTTTATTACTGTTTTTGGTGTCACCAAATTTTCTTATGTCTTTTTAAATTCTTTCTATATTTTCAGTGCAGCTCTAACTCAATTTCAAGGTGTTTTTGTTAAAGATGTAAGCTTTTGCTATTGAGTGGAAAGTGCTTTTCAATTAAATTTCTAAACTTATGGCCTAGTTTGGTGCTGACCATTTGGTTGTATGGAGGTTTTACCAGATGATCTTTCTTTTCCTGTTTTTCTTATTATTGGTACTATCATTTCTAAAAAAATGTCAGCATTTTTTGTATCCGCTATTTTTCAGGACTGTGTTGTAAAAACTACTGTTTTGTTGGAATATTTTAGTCCTATTTGCTGAAAAAATAAAAATTCTTTTCTCTATTGATGTGGGTATATGTTAATTATAGATGGAGGGTGGTTTGACTTAAATAATATACATAGATAATCAGTATTAGGTTTTCTGTAAGGTAGGTGAATGTTGTTAGTTAAGTCTAGGGTTACGTCTAGGAAGTTTACTCTTTTTAATTTAGTGTTGACTATTGTTTTTAAATTTAGTTTCCCAAATTAGCCTTGAAATAGATACCCTACCCAACCTTAGCAAAATCTCTCAGAAGATGATGAATCTATTGATAAGAATTAACTCTCTGACCACTTAACGAGGGAAAATAGTCTAGCCACTCCCACAATAACGAATTCTGTAACGGACCATGGCTAAAAACACACGTAAACCAAGAGATAGCTTATTCCTAAAATTTCGCTTGAAGATGAAACGGGACTAAACACCACAATTCAACTTAATTTTAATAATTATTTGGATGATTTCGGCTCTCGTTTTTCAAACATGAGAACTCTTATGTAGCGAAGGAATCATATTTTTAAACAAAAAATATTATTATAATATAAGCTCTACTTCTGTATGGAGCACTGTCTTCTTAAAAATAAAAACAAAAATACTAAGGAACCCCAAATTATGCACCCAATGTGTTCTTTTCTATTTTCTGCATACCTACGCACTTATATATATATACACACACACACACACAATTTGTCATTGATGATAATCTGATTACATTCATTGATTTCTCAAGATTAACATGTTTTATAATACAAACTGGAACGTTTCATATCACCATTGAGATATTATTTTGTCAATATATTCTTCTAGCCAATCTTTGAGATTAGCCATGTTGAAATTGCAAAATTTGGCAGCATATAAAATATACTTCGACTTCAATTTATTCAAACTCTGTTTTTGTCTTGATTATTATAGATGTTATTATACACATGACATTTCAGCCAAATACCCTCTGACCATTTCAGATGTCCATTATTTTTGCTTAGGTAGGATATCTTATGTGCTGATTATTGCATTATTTTAGCCCTGATTTGTTTCTTTACCATGTCTATAGTAACACCTATAATGGTGCCTATAACCACATCTATAATAGTGTTTATAGTTTGCATCTATAATAATCAAGATAGGAACAATAGTCCAAATAAGTCAAAGTAAATTGCTCATCAGAAAGAAAATTCATCACGAGACACATTTAAAAAAAAAAAATAGAAAAAAAAAAAACTATGTAGATATTACACTGCCTTAAGTGTATGCTAGTATTATGAAGAAGAAACTGTCTACTGAGGCTTGAAATAAGTGAACCACAGTAAGAAATCATCCCCTAAATACTCTGATAAATACCCTAGATGTATCTCTTGGCTGGCAAATAGAATAGTGTTCTCAATTTTATTTATTTTTTTCTTTCAAAGTCATTTTTATGGAAACTTAACTTTTTTGCTTATATTATTTGTAATTTAAACTGTTAATGAATTTTTGAAGAGTTACATATAATAAATTGTCTGAAAAATATCTTCCTTTTTCTTTTCCCCTACCTGCTTGATTAACAAATCAAGTAAAGAAACAATTCTCCTGATGAGATTCAAATGACATTTGTGTTAGAGAAATGATATTTGTCATTTTGAATGTGCTTAGAGAGTTATCTACTTTAAGTATTCTACTGAGAATAACAGTAAAAATGAGAATGCTAGTCCAAAGAAACCAGTGGATGATAAGCATATTCATTTATAAATGAAAAAAAATACATTTTAAGAAATAACATGGACAAAAATATTTTAGTTTATATGAGTGCAATTATATTTTGAATATTGTTAGAAGTTTATTAATTAAAAATTACGAATCAAGATTCATCCTCAAAAGAATAGAAACTGGCTTTTTCTGATTTTTTTTGTTGCTATTTTCTGTATCACCTATCACCTCTTATTGCTGAGCATTTGAAAATTTTTAATAATTCACTTATAAAAAGGCAATCTAGGTTTAATTAGGAATATAACCAACCTCAAAGTAGTAAATTACTTTTCTTACATACTCTTAAGATTATTGGGTGGAAGTGGGGGAGGGGGTTTAAGGAATGTTGATCACTGAAAAAATGTGCACTATTCCAGACACAATTAGAAAAGCTTTGTTGGCAAATTATTGGAATTCCCTCAGCAATAAATATCCGAATCTTATGAAACACAACATCTTCTCATACATGCTTTAGAAATTTAAATAGCATCATTCAAATGATAACAAATTAAAACCTTATTGAATCTTGAAGGCTTGCTAAAGGTTTTGTATTCATTTGGCACCAACAAGGTTTTTAAGAGAATGGAAACAAAAAGGAAACTCATACTTAACAACAAGAGGTAGTTGAGATTTCTGGGGCATGTAATGAAAAAGGAAAGCTTGGAAAACCTGATACTCACAGGACAGATTGAGGGGAGAGAAAAAAGCAGCACGTAACATACTTGATGGCTTGAGCAAATGGATGGCAGAACAGGGTTTTGGGAGAAATAACAAAAAAAATAAAACTTATTAAGAGCTACAAGGGATAGGAAGATGTGGAGGGCCATTATCGCCTACATCCTGAATAAGTTCATCTGGACTTTTTTTTTTTACAATTTAAAAGATTTATAGCATTATAAAGATCCATAAAGTACAATTGAAGTTTTATGATACTACTTGAATTAATAAAATAAAAATAATTAAATATTATCGATTGTGGGATGACTTGTCCAAGTTCTATATGCCTGCTCATAGGCTCAAATTCTGCCAGTTGGATGAAGAGGTAAACTCCTAGTGATGTAAAAAGGTTAAGGTGATTTAATATAAAGATACTTAACAGGAACACCTTGTTGTTCTTGATCCCTGAGAAATAGTAAAATTGTTCCATTACTCAACAGATAAAGAAACATTTTAGGTAAGATTCTTAAACTCTATTCTTTGATTTCAACCCCAGTAACATATTAAGAGATGTATTTTAAATATACACTATTGACCTTGTTTAAACTATTGCTGTTTGAGTTGTAGTAATAATTATATATAGATTTGTCATCTTTTATACTGTAAGTCATGCTTATGGTAAACCTTAACTACTGACAATCCATTTTTTATTTTATTTCTGAATTTAAATGTTCAGGGTATAAATTGAATATAACAAATTTAAAATAAATTTTAGGTTAAAAAAAAAAAGGTAAAAGTTCTGTGTTTAATCATTAATTTTTCCTCTCCCACCAAAAATTATTTCATTTGTTAGTGCATAAAATGATCCAACTTCAACAAGAGAATGATGAAGTATCAGTAAAGTCAGTGGGGATTGTTCAGACAAACTGAAACTTTTGAAACAACATGACAATATTTGAAAAACAAATTATTTTGAATGAATTTGATTGTCCCATTTTGCACTTCTCTGATTAATTTGAACAAAAATTTTGATGCATCTGTTTCATAAATCCTGCTTGTATCTATAAATAACATGTAGTAAAGTAACAAACTTTTGTCTTTTTCATCAAATCTAAATTAAGAAACAATTTTTCTAAAGGCAATAAACTTCCATCTCTGTCGATTTTTTTCCCTTGAGTCACAAATTATTCTTACAAGAAAAAATTAACAAATTCTCTTTTTTTTTCTTTTCAGAGTGAGCGCATCAAGAAATCCTTGCGGGTCCTTGATAAAATTTACCCCCAATTGTTTGAATATGTTCTGAGTGTGGGTCTGAGGCTGAATGTGGAACAGAAAACATATGAACCATACATCATATATAAATTTCCTGAAATTGTAAGTTTTATATTTCTTGAATGTTTTCAATTTTATGTCTGTATATTTTGGTGATGGATCCTTTCATTGTTTCTAAACAAAAACAAGCAAATGGCATTTATTGGATTTGATTTCATTTAAATACTTTTAACTTGGAAATAGCTCTTATGAAATTATAATAAAAATTTGCTTAATTTGCTACATTGGATAACATTTGCATGTAACAATTTAAGAAAATTCCATGTTAACAATGTGTGACTAATATTTTCATCTTGAGCACTTTCTTTTTCAATATTTTTATTTTTAGATTTTCAATACTTCATTTTATTTCACTTTCTTTTTCTTCCATCTTTCACTTTTCCTTCCTTTTATCCTTCTTTTTTTTTCTATTTTTCCCCCCTTCTTTATCTATGGACAATTTTTTTATTTTCTCTCTGTTTTTGCTTTACTTTACCTTCTTTTCCTCTTTTGCCTTCTTGTTTATTCTCTGTCCTTGTCTTTCTTTTCCCATCATTGTCATTCTTCCTCTTTGTCCCTTTATCTTTCTTTTTCCTTTGTCTTTGCCTTTCTTTTTCCTCTCTGTTGTCCTTCTTTCCATTTCCCCTTTGTCTTTCCTTCTTTCCTCCCACCTCCACCTTTCCTCCCACCTCTGCCTTTCCTTCCTTTTTCCTCCTCTTGGCCTTTCCTTCCTTCCCCACTCTCTTTGAATTCTCAAAAAAGATACTTATTTTTAACTTCATTTTAAGCTTCAGATTTTTTAAATTTTTTATTTTCTTTCTTTATAATTTAATCCAATAATATCAGTATACAACCTGCTTTATTTTGGAGAAATTACTACCCCCCTCCCACTTCTAATAACAGAACATTTAGATTTCATCAACGTAACAATAATCATTTTGTCTTTGTTTTTAACATTTGTCATGTTAATCTTCCAACTAATCTTCTACTTTGTCTTCTTCTTTCTATTGCATCCCCATTCTCTCTCTATATGTGTGTGTGCGTGTGCGTATGTAGCGTAACTACAAGCTGGACACGGCTGGTCACCTGCTGCTTTGCTCAGCAGTGGTAAGTAAAGGAGAATTATACTTTTGTGTGCAGATTGAAAAAAAAAAATTCAACCTTTTAATTTTTCTTTTAAATGCATTGACAATGATATATTTTTGCTTCTTCAATACTCTTTCGAACAAAGGAGATTAATATAAGCACAACAAATAATTTGCATTGATTACTTAATCACCTTTTGGGGGAGATAGGAAAACAGAAAATCTTTTTTCAAAAATGTATTTAAATTTGACACACGAGAAATGTTCTTTTTGTTAATTCTTTGGAACAGACACAACTTTGTAATTCTAATTTAGTCCCTAATTTCTAACTAAATAAAAATGCATTAATAAAAATTGCTCCTTCTCATCTCTACAGTTTTAAATAGATAATCCTGTATGGAATTGTTTATTCAGAACTATTGTGACTTTGGCTACAAGATGACATACAGAAACTTTACATTGGCTTTGTAGATCTGTTTCTTTAACAAAGTCTAAGGGAGTTTCATTAATAATTTATATTCTTCTTGATCCTAAGAGAGATGCAAGAAAAATTACTCCTAAATCTTTCTTTCTGTCTAAAATATTAATTTTATGTATAAAAAAAAATCAGGAAAAGAAAGAGTGAGATTAAAACTGACAAGCAGAATTAATTTTTGGACAGTATTCAATCTTTATTGCAACATTCATGACTGATTAAAAAACAAATATTATTTGAGTGCTTGATAGTTTAAATTGTGACATTAGCTTTACAAAAAAAATTGTAAAAAATGGTGAAAAAAAAATCTGATTTTTCGTATTACTTAAAAATTTGAATAACTTCCTCATTTTTTTATCCAACTTTCTTCAAACATGCTGCAAAAAAATTACTATCATGCAAGAAATAAGACAGTGTGGTTTTATTCCTGCTTGCTTTCCCATGTGTAATGAAAAACCACGAAAAACTGTTCAAAAAGCCCATTTTTCAGTCACAGCTCCCTGGTTTTTCATCTGATGCTTTCCAACTTTGTCATGTAAATTACATATGACACACAAATTGTCTTACATGAATGTTTGGTTTAGATTATTTCAGTTAAGTGTATGAAATCTGCAACAAACTAGGTCTGAAATTGGCTTTTGCCATTTAGAAGTTTCTTCATATGATTCCATCCTAAATTGGCATTCGAACAACATTTGATAAAAAGATTGTTTGAGAAGGATTATTGAAGCATTAGAAGGGGAAAATTCATGAAGAACCTCTTATTAACCCCAGCTTTACAGTAAATGTGCAAAGAAGGAGGGGGGAGGGATGTTCATATGTTTGCATTTGCAGTTGAATCAAGCCCTGACACTTCATCCCTGTTTTTGTTTGATTGTTGATTTGTGAACAATGCCATACTATTGAAAATTATTATGGCCATAGGAAATTTACTGAATATCTAAAACATTGAAACAATTTAACCCTGAGCAATGACCACACAAGAAGGTTTTATAGATGGAATTACTTTAAGAACAATCAAACACTTGCAAAGGACATACTGTAAAAAAAGATGAGGTGGGGAGTAGCTTAGTATACCAATAGATGATGTATTAAGTGGGGACACAGACAGACATTTCTAGACAAGGGGTGTGGGTATACAGGGGTGTTGTTATACACTTGCAGCCATGTACACCCAGGCAATGTTGGGTACCTTGGCTACTATACAATAATTCATCAAATTAATATCTCCGTGTTAGCAAATTCTTTATAAGTTCTTTGTTAAATGATTTTTTTCATCCTCCTCTCCTCCAATTTTAAGCATATACCTATTTAAAAATCTCTCTAAAATCATTATCAAATATTAATTGAAAGGAATAGATTCAGTCTGAAAGCTTTGAAAAAGTCATTCAGTTGTAAACATTAACTCTTGTAATGTTTACCTGAGGAAGCCTTATTTTGATTCTCAATTGATACTGAACCAAAAAGATGAAAGCAGGAAAAGGTTGTAAGATCTGTTTGATGTTAACATGTTAGAAAATAAATTAAATTTGTAAATTATAACATTTACACAAGCATCATCATAAATGCTTCACTCTTGATAGTGCAGGTACTTTATTAAGATTATCCATATGAATATTGTACTCCTTAAAGTTTGAAGAAATATGGCAAATGGAAAACCATTTCATTGAAAGAAAGATTAGATTATGCATTTTACCTTTTCTAGGTTTCATCAGATCAAAAATAAAAAAGTAATATGTGTATTTGTGTGTATGCTTAAATAATAAATCATTAGTACTTTTTCTGCTAAGCCGACATTTCTCAGGATAAAAAAAAGGAATGAAATTGTGTGACTTTGTAAAAAAAAAAAAAAAAAGCTGCTGATATTTATTCTGTATTATCCTTTACAATTTTCTAGGTCTTGCATAAAAACTGGGAGAATGTATAAATCTTCCTAATGGTTAGGTCCTTGAAGGTAATTGTAAATGGCCGGACTTTTGGGGTCCTAGCAACCAATGCAGGCTTCCCCTGGGGCTCACTTCTTGCACCAACCTTCTTTTTGCTGATTGGCAGCTGATCTCTCATCTGATCTAGCTCTAACACCTCAGTGGGGGAAAACTGGTTACATTTAATGCCAAGAAAACGAAACTAGTTACGTTCTATCCTCTCCGATCAGACCCTGAACTACCACCAATCATGATGAATTGGTGTCCCCTCTAGGAGGCCCAGTGCCATGAGCATCTATTGTGCCTTAAACTCGCTTCAGAACTCAAGTGGAACGATCCATCTCTAAGGATGCAGGAAAAATGGTTGGTTCTCTGTACCACTCAAGTACCACTTCGTGCTATCCTCTATTTTACAAGGCCTCTCACTGCTCTATTGCTACTTCTATTGAAAGTGCTTCCTTGGTTCTACCAGTCCTAACCTTCACAGCTAGGATCTGCCATGGCACTCACATTGTAGCAAATTATCCTCATTGTTCCATATTCCATTGGTGAGAAGTAAATTCCACTTGAACAGCTTCTTCCCACAAACCATTGCTCTATGGAACCAACTCCCAAGAGGATGTTTCCTCAATCACTACAATCTTAACTTGTTCAAGTCTAGGGTTAACTGTTATCTTCCCCACCTATTCACATAAAATGTGCTTCTTACTCTGTAACCTTTTACCATGAATGGCCCCTGGGCCTTGTACAGGGTGAACCTTACTGTAAAAACCACCAAAAAGCAAGAACTTGAAAAGTGTAAAGAAAAGATACAGAATAAATATTAATGGCTTTTTTACAAAGTTACACAATTTCATTCTTTTCGTTCATCATGAGAAATGCCAGCTTAGCAGAAAAGGTACCAATGATTTATTATTTAACCATACAAAAACACATTTTTTCTTTTGTTTTTAATCTGATGATGCCTAGAAAAGGTGAAACATGTAATCTAATCTAGTTTTAACGAAACAAGTTTCCATTTGTCATATTTATTCAAACTTTGTCAGGATCCTTTATCCTATTTTATAGACACTCATTAAAGTACAAACAATAAAAATGTCTTGAACATTTATTACTACCTCTGTCCTATAATAATTGTTTCATATGTATACACATTTCATAGACTAAATGTAACAACAATTATAGGGCAGCCAAATTAGATATTGATATACTACACTAAAAAAGTCAGTGTAGAGTTGTTTGAACTTGGAAAAAATATGAAGAAAAATTAAATACAGTAAATTCTGATTGCACTTTGGATTCTGGTTTAATCGCAATAACCATGCAGCTAAAATGATAATAAAAGGTTTGTGCTTATAACTCCTTTTTATAACAACAATCATTGCCGTTATCTTTGTTCATGAGCATTTGAGCGTTTTGAGCTTTGCTTTTTTGTTTTGTTTCTAAGTCAGTTCAGCCTTCATTATTGCAAATGCCATTTGATGCTTTTGGCTTATATACTTATACCAAAATGTGACCATTTCCACTCTATTACATTTGTTTTAAAAATGAATCAAAGTAGTCTTTGTGAAGAACTTT